GAAGGAAGTTTAGATAAGAAAGAATGCCTGAGTGACATTGTAACAAACATTTATTTATTTATTTATTTATATCAAATGACATGCGTTTTGATCATTACCATTAACTTTTTAGTTCACTTCAGGCTTCATAGATTTGAAGGAACATCAAAGTGAGAAAAGGTCGAGAGGGGGAACAGAAGAGTGTTTCAAAGATGAAAAAGAGGCAGACATAAATGTAGAAAAAAGACGAGGTGAGTACTGTGGAAGTAGTCGAATACGACATACAGTGGGGTGATGGTAGTTTTAATTCAAAAGTCAACTGTCCGTTTATAGAATTTTTCGCCGTATGAATATACGTTGCCCAGATTGCACTACGTGGAGGTAAGTCTATCGCGCACCCCTTGTAACAAACATTGACTTGTGTATTTTAAATTTCGAATATGCGAATATGCCATTGCTCTTCTCGAGATTTCGTGTCTTCTTCTCTGAGACAAGATAGGTTTCAGATATTTCACAACCTCTCCAATAAGCATTCATGCATTAATTGTAAGATTATTTGCTCGATCTATTTATATTCATTTAACTTAAATTTATTTACTAAACAGGCTATTTCGACTAATATCAGTGTATCTGTTGATATCTATTTTGAGACCAACATTGAACATCGTTACTTGCAATTTCTTCCATTACAAATTATTAAAAACAAGAGAATAAATACAAGGATAAAATATAACAAAAAGGGTTCTCTATCTTTTTTGACAGCTTTATTATATTCTCTATGCCAGAGAGACTTCTTTACTTTCTAATTCCACTGATCTATAGAGCAATGCAAACTTCTACATATTAACTCGTTGAAGCGGATTGCTACGCTAGTAAAGCCTGACCGACTCAAAAATCTCTATGGCAGATTCTCCAACATCTAGCTAGACTCCCATAACAAGCTAAGATATAGCCCAGCTATAAGGGAAACAGACGTGTAGCACGGAATACGTTTATTCAGTACGTATATTGATAGCGAAGTGTGCATATCGGCAAAGCGATTAGTTATCAGATAACCCTAGCATAATTCGTTTGAATATTAATAGCTAAATATTTCTGAGTAGTATTCTATAGCAGAATTTCTATTTGATCATTGATGAAGTGTCCCACATCGTCTCTATTTCGTCCTATTCATTTCTTAGTAAGAAAATGCATTTTGATGGAGTGTTGCACCCTCATCTCATTTATAACCACAACCCGTTTCCACCGTCATTAGCTATCGTCAAATTCCAATAATGTGGAGTACTTTTTAACACATATATTTACTCTGCCGCATTTGCCACAAAATTCGTATCAGATGCTCATCAGACTAACAGAATGTAAAACGAACCGCCTCACAATACAACACTGCTGCACCGACGCCTATCCACCCCACCAACTCACAACTCCTCTTCCCACTCCATTTTTCCCTCTCCCATTATTTCCGAGTTGTTCAATGGAATCCTGCTCTCCTATAGACTCGTGATTCTCCTATTTCTTCCACATTTAGGAAGGTCAATGAAAAGGAATTCTCTCTCCAGACTGAAGTCGGTCGACCCGTCATGATAGATCTTTTAGAGATGCAAATACAGATACCCTCCTCAGGAATCTCTTCAATCCAACTAGCTCGTCCATATACACTCGTGGTAGATAGTCTTCAGAACCCCCAATTATGATGGGAAACCGATTTTGTCTCTTCGTCTCTAAAGACAGGCCACTTCCGCACATAGCAATGCTCATCTTGATCGAATTGAACAAGAATGCAAGAAAATAGATAAAATAAAATGTGTCTATCACCACAGTTAGCAAAGTAAACATCTTCACACAATTAGTAAGTTAATTTCTAATGCCCCTGATACCGTCCAAATGCGCATTTATGCCAGAATAGACGAAACGGACATTATACCAGGTGTAACAATTATGAGTTCTGACTATGGAGAAGGAGAATCCATGCAGAGCAACGGCCAAAAAAGTCCGCTTCTCACCACTTTGCTGGAGATTCGAATACTTCTCTCTCGGGATTCTCATCGACGCACAGTTACCTCCTCCACTGCGACCAAAAGGTCCCAATTTCCGACCGTATGAGGTAGTGAAGGTCATCTTATCGACCAACCAACCGCTGTTAACTGTGAAGCCATTCACTGTCTCGCCTACTTCCAATTCTAATATCTTTCTAAATGCAAAAAGTAAGAAAGTTAGCATTGGTGACATTTTTTTATGAAACCCAATCGATTATATGTTTTGTATCACGAGTGTCTGATTGTCAATTATTTGATATCCACACCTCAGCCCGCACAAGTAAGACTTCGTACTTACCGAAAGAAAAGTAGTGTTCAAGGCCCTTTTAGCCCAGGGTTGATTTAAAATGAGTTAATGGTCATTTTGCATGACCCGACAAAGTAGAATTACGAATTATATGTTGAAAGAATGGATACTCAGAAGTGAAGGCGTCAACACCCAAGTCGGTTTATTCGCAAGTCACATGATCTACGCTTATCGATACACATCCAATAAAGTTGGCGGTCAATTCGCATTGGAGACGATTTTAATCAAATACAGGAGGTGGCGGAATGTGGGCTTCCCATAATAGGCTCCAGAATAACTCCCCCTCCAATCTAATCCAAGTGTTAAAAGTGCTTCTCTCAATTATCTTAGCTCATCTCCACTCAAGTACTTTTAATAAACATCTTCACGAACCTGACTCTGACTATCTCAAACGACTCCTCTAAGTGTGGGACACGACAAATATTTTAGAAACTCGGTACAAATTAAAATTTGAAGTGAAAGATACGTAGAAGAAGGGGAGAAATGTTGCAAAAAATGGTGCAACACTTTGATTAAGCAAACGAATTATGTTAATGCGATTTAGTGTTTGCCAACTCACATATAAATACACAAACGACAACATCAACAAAGTGAACGTGTGACACTCACCTATCGTAGTCTGATGGAATTAAGTCTGTGAATGGTGAAGAAGCCATTCTTCGCTCACTGGTCCAAATATTGCGATACTCCACATCAACACCTGGAGAATAGGACCAAATTGCTTAAATGATTCTAAAAATATACTCACTAAACAAATGCTAATATCTCATTCATTAACTAGGCATTGTGGCAGTTACGCAGGCAATTAGCAAGTGACACGACCACCCTTGGAGTTAAGCAAGAGGAGCAACATGACGTGATCACTGTGTGTGTGCGCATCGCCTCACTCGCCGCCTTCCATAAGTGCAACTCCTCTTATTCAATTGCCTTACACATCATCGAGGATTTACTATTGGCATCCAGTTTGAGCTGACCGAAAAGATGCCCAAAAAGGAGTGACTACTTGTTTCTCCTTTTTCTCCAATTCGACGATGACGTCGAGATTAAATTACTCCCCTGAAGTGATACCAATTTTTGAATATCTAATCAACTATCAAGTAAAAGTCTTTTACGCTCTGTGCTTGAATTGGCCAAAGTCAATACAGCCATGAAATCCATATTGCCATTCAAATACCACATCAAACTCAGCCACATATCTCACATCTTTTTCTCTGGATTGTCTCAAAAAACACCATTTACTCCATTCAACTGTTCTGAAGATCTTACTATCCTTGAAACTCGCAATTTCAGCTAAGAAAGTTGGATTCTGTTATATCATATTTAACCGGTTTTGTCGGTCTTATGATGTAAAGAAAACGAATAGATATGCCGCAACTTCGTTGCCATTATTAACTTTGTAGTCAAACACGTACTCAGCTAATAGACAAATGTGATAAGCGATAAAATTAAATATTGCACCTAGCAAAAGCTACACCACTCTGAATGTTCTACTCTTTAAGACATCAGTAGAAAGATTTTAAGAGTAAGATGAGTAATTTACCTCCAATAAGACCGACCGTATCACCCCAATTTGGAAGTATATAAAATACCATCTTTGAAATGGTCCAGGTATCGGGCGGAAAATTTTCCCATGGCGAGTATTCTGTCTCATCGACAAAATCAACACTAAATAGCAGAAAATCGTAAGCAAACGCACATTATTATAATAATTATTATTAAAATGAACAAGAAACAATGAACTAACGAAGAGTCATGGATGTACATGCAGCCGGCTAGGAATCGAGTCATGGCAATATCACGGGGACCTATATATATATATATATATATATGAATTAAAGTAGATTAGAAGTAAATTTGCAATTACAGGCTGTTAAATTTGATTCACAATCTTCCTTTGTAATTTTTCGCGTTTCTTCTGGGAAGATATCACTGAATAACTAATTGAATGATATAAATAAAAAAATTAATAGGCACTACATCTTGCAATCTCTGTATGTAATACGAACCCATATACATGATGCCTTTGTCAATAAATAATGGACGAGTTATATGTCGCAACATCTTGAAAAAGTAACTGGGTCCAAGTTGACGTAGCTGGTCTGATTAGTAAAAAATGAGAAGAATGATCACATTACCTTTCTTTTTAATAAAGTTACGTTTTTCGATAATATGCCTAAAGATTATTTCGTCGTCATAGAGACTAACAAGCGTGGCGCCTGCCTCTATGTCTTTATCTTTGTTATCACGAAAAAAGTCGCGACATCGATCGAGCACGGCATTTAAAATTAGAAAGTCAGCAGCAATGTAAATATCAACAATATTAGAAGAATTGATCTCCACGCTTCCAGTATATAAGTAATTCAGCATAGACTGAAATGTTTCGGGAGTCATATTGTGAAGGGAAACAACATCCTCAAAATCTGAATCACGTCTGATGATGCTATCGAAATATTCTGATGAGGCACATAGAATCTCCAGATGCACTTTAAACAGCTCTCCACCAACACTAATCGTACAATTACAGAATTGTCCTTGGCGTTGAAGCTGTTGAAAATAGTTTGCCTTTTCCTTCATAAAAGTTGCTTTATTTTCCTCCTCTTTTAATTTTAAACAGCCAAGTGCACCGTCTTCATCAGACATTCTCATTTCCATTTTATCACCCGATTGCGCAACCCTAGGTATGAGAAAATGGCAATAATTTTTTGACCAATGTGATTGTTAGAGCATTCAGAATAAGAAAGTTTGCAAATCAAGGTCATCAATTGTTAAATAAGACTTATTTTGGAAAATTAAGGTTTTTTATAAGTGATTCCACAAACTTTAATGTGTGGATCTTTTTAATAAATTCTTTGGATTCTGGTAATTAAGGTGAGACACAATCTTATGTCCAAGAATCTCAACACATGAAAATCGGTGGAAAATTTTCACTATTATAAGCATTATCAAGGATCATCTATATCCGACATAAATTCTTCTGCTGGAGCAGTCATGGGAAGATCGCATTTTATCGCCCCTTCATCCTAAGGAAATATTTGCGCAGTACTAGTTGTAACAAGTACTACGTTTTCATCCAGCTGAAAATGTAGTTGGTTAGGCACGTTTTCAAAGATATATGTTTATTTTCCATGATAAAGCGATGAACTGACCAGCTCCCATCGCGACAAAATAAGTAGGTTTGATTGAAATATGGTCCAGTTACACGGTGATGTAAATTGAGTAGGTGCATGAACCTCTGGTGAAGATTTTTTACTTTTATACTAGTCATGTACTTCTATATTTCATAAAAATGAGAATGATCTCGTCTTATTGATAGCTTTTCATTCAATTTAAGAATTCGTATTTCACATGAATTTGCAGACACCCGAATGAATAATTCAATAGGCATTCAAACACCTCACCAAGTACCTGACTACATCCCCTGGCTTTTGACGATCGATCACTCAGAATCATTTTGGCTCGTTTCCGATTGCAATGAAACGGAGATAGAAACAATTTAATTGTAGAAGAGAAATTGTTTACTCTTCTTCTTCTTACATTTTCCGTTAAATGGCTACATGATCAGGAATAACCTAGCATTTCAAGCTAAGAAAAAAGGCTTCCATATGTCATTTGGCTCTTGACAGAAATTCCAATGAAGGGGTTCTCATCTCTGTCACAATGGAAGGTAAATTGAGAAAAAGTATTCGTCATGATGACTATATAAGCAGAAATGTTCAATTAAGCATTGTTTGAATAGAATTAAATCACTTATTAGTCGGGAGTAGCGTAAGACCAAATCCTTTTTTTAATATCATAGAGGTCGTAATATGGTAAGACTACAGGAAATATTAACATACACACCCCGTCAGGATCTCAGAATGAAGAGATGAACAGTTATTAGTAATTGGATGATTGATAGAAAATTTAACATTAATTATACCATTGCATCTCTTCTTTCCAAACTTTTAAGTTGCGTTCTTACGTAAGTGAGTATATATTAACAATTCCTGCCTCTAATTGATTAGTGGAGTAACCTAAATCGTTGAATTTGTAGTACAGATAAAGATAATTCGAGTGTGGTGAGTAAAGTAAGTAAAGGAAAATTTTAGCTAAATAAATTTTTATGAAAGAGTTTCCCCCAGTAAGAGTACTAAAACTAAGACTTCGGGTTTCTCACATCATCGAATAGATCAACTTAACGTTAAGTCTTTGTTCCTCCTAGGATTTGTGATACTGTTTAGTGCCTATGATATTCCCAGAGGCTATTAAGGCGAGCTATGATGAAAAGAGTGCCATAGAACCGGATATTTATGTGACAACTAATTGAAAATGAGTGCTAAATGGAAATTATTTTGCTTATTAAAAAAATTGAAAGTATTTTATATTTAATATAAAATACAAACTCGAGTGATCATTTTGACAAATGAAATAACTTTACTTATGGAATCAAAAATATTTAAATATTTTTTGCATATAAAATAGCTTGATTAAAGTTCAGGCAATTAACTTTCATATTTTGTATTCTTTGTTGATACGTTTAAAATAGCTCTTCTTTGAGGTCGCTTTATTCATTGGACGGGCTCTGCGCGACTTAACTATTAAGCTTGAATGGCTATCTCCAGTGCTCGAGGCCGGCTTATTGCTGTTATCGGTGATGAAGATACAATTACTGGGTTCCTTTTAGGTGGTATTGGTGAGCTCGATATTGACAGACGCCCTAATTATTTGGCTGTCACCAAAGATACGCCGATAAGTGATATCGAGGACGCGTTTAAGACGTTCACATCTCGAGAGGACATTGCAATCATTTTGATCGTTCAAAACGTGGCCGATGTGATTCGTCACTTAGTTGATGCACACACAAGTCCCATGCCAGCCGTCCTGGAGATTCCAAGTAAAGACACACCTTATGAAGCTAATAAGGATTCCATCCTCAACAGAGCAAAAAAACTTTTCTCCGCAGAAGACTACCGATAGTCTTAATTCAAATCACTCATTTATTCATGCATAATAATTGCTTCGTGATATACCTTCAATAAAATTTATGTCCCAGATGATTTCTTTTCATTTGACTTTCTTTTGATCACGCTATAATTTTGTTGTTATCTTTTAGTGATAATGAGTGATTATCAACTAAATGCAGATGCAGAGGAATTTGTACCTCAGGTTGTAAAAGTTGAGAATAATATTAAGGATATAGTTCTTGAGGCATTTGGTTCAAACACCAAAACTTCTGAAGGGGCTATTCGAAAGGTAAAGTCTTCAATACGTGTTTAATTTCCTTTTAGTTTGAACAACTAATTCAATCTTCCCCAGCATGTAAAGCAGCCCATCGTGTTGGTGAAGCGCTTATAAGAGCGGCATTTATTAAATCAGGAAACGCCACCGTTGCGCTGAAAGTTTTCAAGGAGTTGCAAGCATCCATTCCAGATTCTCAATATGACCTCCTGGAGAATGGTTTTCTAGGTGAACTTCACACGCAAACCATTCAAGTCGTTTCCGAGGAGGGTTTAAAGGAGGTTGCAAATGACACGGATTCGAGCAAAAAGTTTATCTTGTTCTCTGCCGAGCTTATTCATCTAATTTCACAAAGTGTAACTAATCTTCGAAATGCAGGATCAGGTGTTGCACCCCTTTTCCCCTGTATCGATATCTGTATATTAGCGGTGGCTGCCCTAAGAACTCAGTTAGAGACCACGAAAAAAAATCCGCCCCCCGATTCTAAAGCTATGATGAATTGGGGCAATCTCATAGATGCTTTCATTTCAAGCCTCAGTCAAACCTTGCCTAAAATTAATGCTCTTCTTCAATCTTCGGATCACGTGCCATCGTCGTCTTCATCCTGGATTTCAACTTCTTGTCTCCGAGAACCTTCAGATATCTCAGTTCTGAAGAACAATCCCAGTATAAATAATGTGGAAACACTTAAAGTGGAACACTTAGCCCTCCTTTTGGATGAAGTGCTGTATCTGCTCAAATTTCTCGTTGTTATTGATAACGGATTGCCCTCGAGGTGGGTTAGATCTACCGCCATGGATCTTTTGCTTTCTGCAGCAGCTGTAACTACAGCAAATGCCTCAATAAATCATCAAGATTTTGGAGATGACAACTTATTTGATCAAGATAATCAGGAGTTGATGCAAGATTTTGAGGAATTCCTTGAAACATCAGGACAGTTGTAGGCAGCGTGGAAGTCGGATTGTGACTCCATCAGTGTGTATGAAAGAAACTAGCATTTATACATCTGTCATTTATCATTTGCTCTGCTCTTTCTTCCTTCCCACAGCGCTGTTTTTTCGACGCTTCCCTAATTCGCCCGTTTTTGTGATTGTTTCACTTTGTTTAAACCCACCTTTTCTGTTCTTTTGTACTTCCTGCAATACATGTCCTAATTGCTATACATATATATTTTTTGTTTGAATATAGTCAAGTGGTATGTACTTTTAATGAAATTCCATTGGGGACATGGGGGATGGGTGTGAGGATTTTAATCAGGCTAGGTCCAGATAATCGCACAAGCGGAAGTCCATTGCGTTCAACCAACAGAATTTGTCCGTTAGATTGTTTATAACTTTGATCTATTTAGGTGTTTGCTTGTAACTTTACATCAACATGCACTCCTTACGCAGTAAATCTCCGTGAGTAGAACTACAGTACTATCTCTTAACAAGATGATTGCAAATAAAAGAACAAACAATAATTTCAAATTTATGGCCATATTCATGACAATTGAAGAGTAAGAGCCGGAGTGTACTAAAAAATTGCTAGTATTGTGGAAGGAATGAGCTTCTTTCCAGAAAAAAATAGCAAAACTCCGTAAGACGAGTAAATTGCCACACCATCCGCTGTATCCTAGAAACAGGACAACGGGGCGAATTTTAAGGAATGCAACAGTAATTGTAATTTTCTTTATGGGAAAACTATTTTATCGCATTCATGCTTCATCAAATGCTGAGTTTTAAATTACAGTACCAAAGATGTCTCCCATTACAAAAATTTAATGTTAGCTTCACTGTTATTCAAAATGAGAGCTTTGCCTGTAATCATGCATAGAGGTTAGTCATTCTCATCTCAAAATGGAAGCGCTTTCCTTAATGTGCTCGTGAATTAATTTATTTATTATTAGAAACAAACTCAATGAGTATTCAACGGGAAATAGAAAAAGCTAATAAGGTTAATCCACTTGCACGAGATCGAAAACGAGTACTTCAGTGTAAAAGGTGTGCAAAGGGTGAACGACAATATCGTAGGCAGTAACCTGCAAACTTTAACCAATTTGGATGAAGTGAAACTTAATGAGTATTAGTTAACGATAAACAGAAATATTAACCGTAGTATGAAAATCAAGTATTCGAGCATCGAACTCCATTCAAGTTTTATTTTTTGCAAACGCATACCAAAGCTTCGAAATCCCCATCTTTAGTGCCAGAATCTTAAGACAAACAATTTTTCAACCTAACATGCAAAAAGTCTTCTTTACATACTAATATCCAAGTCATTGGGGAACTAATACTGCACACAATCAGCAGATATAAGCTTTTTACCTGAAGGTAATTGTCAAAAGTAACTTGAAACAATCTGGTTCCAGTGTTAGATAATTCAGGTGAAATTTCTCCTCAAAGGAACTAATTTGTCCGTATGCGTATGTATGTCCGTTCGACCTTATGGGTCATAAAAATTCTAGGCTTCTTCACCTCTATTGAATTACATTTTAGTAGCAATATTATGTTCATGTCAGAAATTTCGTATCGGAATCTATGAATGAAGAAATACCTGTTTAGCAAAGTGTTTCCGATGCTTGCAAATAGTTCTATTTAACACTTTAAGCATCTACTTTAAAGGAACTTGCAAATGAGAGATATACGAGCGCTAAATGGCCATAAACGCGTGGAATATAAAAAAATATTACCCCTGTGTTTCTTAAATTCCAGAGATGATTTGAAGGTAGAAAACTAGATTGATGGCTTAATTGTCAACCCGGAAAACAGCATCTGCGCATTCTAGTCTTTATTACTTTAGGAGCAAAGTTGCATAAAATAGTAATAAAAAAGGTCACTTATTCATATCATTTTATTCTGGTAACCCAAACGAATTAATGTATAATTTCGTCCTTCCTGCGTGGAATACAAATGGCAGAGTTTAATGTCACTTACATGGGGCGTGCGATAGACTTACCTCCACGTGGTGCTCCCTGAGCAACGTATGCTCATGCGCAAAAAAGTCAATAAACCGGCAGTTGACTTCTGAGTTCAAGCTATCATGACCCCACTGTATGTCATATTCGACCACTTTCACAGTACTCAACTCACCTTTGTTCTACCTTTGTGTCTGTCTCTTTTACATCTTTGAAACACTCTTCTGTTCCC